TTTGTATCTTGCCCTGGTATCCCTAATGGATAAAGGTCTGCTTACACATTTAAAATTATGTCATTCTTTCATCAAATATAAATGAGTGTGAAAACAGTTTGCTAAGAAAATAAATTTCAATTAAACTTAAGACTGGAAAAAATGAGAACTTGTGAAATGAACAAATTTATTCATCCATCCAACTTTCTGTTAAAGTAAATGTTGCTTTTCAGAAAAACAGATGAAAATATTGCACCTGATAAATTCTGTACTACTGTTTTCCAAAAACATTGTGACAAGGCATTTTTACCCAATCATTTGCTGAGATTTTTAAACCTGAGTCAGACACTTGGTTGTATGCACAGCTCCAATCATGGAACACAGCAGTCTTATATAACTATCAGGACCAGTAGTCATTGACAGCCATATTCATGAATTTGTCCAATTTTTAAAACCTTTCACATCAGCAGCCATCACATCTTGTGGAAGTGAATTCCATAATTTAACTATGTACTGAGAGAAGAAGTGCTTCCTTTTATCTGCCTGAAGTTCTCACCAGTCAGCTTCATGGAATGATGCTGGGTTCAAATATTATGGGAGAGGGAGAAAGACATGCCCCTTTTCACTTTCTCCTCACTATGCATAATTTTGTACATTTCTGCCATGGCTTCCCTTACTCTTCTTTTTCTAAGCTAAACAATCCCAGATGTTGTACCCTTCCTCAGGGTGAAATTCCTCCAATTGAAGGACTTCTTTCATGAATGGAAAGGACCTGTGGATCTGATCCATTATGTTCCATATTTTTTTCCTGTAGATCAACTGTACATTTAATTTTTTAATGTAAGCCAATGTTAAATACCAGCAGCCTAGTCTTTAGAACATAATAATGGTTCCTTTCTGGAACATAAGTTAGATCTTTGGGGAAAACGATGTAAAATCTGGTTCCAATGAATGTATTTGCTTTGCATCCTTTTTTTGACAAGTAACATCTCTGCCATCCTCTCACCCACCACCCGTAGGCCAATTACATAGACTCAGGTCTTTGTCCAAGTCTCTTATAGCAAATATATTTTTTCATAACAAGATGTAGTTACGCTTTGAACTTTTAGTTTTTGGAAAAGCAAGAATGGAAAAATGTTTCCATGAGTGCACATTTTGGATCTGTCAGCTGCTTTTCACTTGGGGGGAAAAAAGAAGCCCTCAAACATATTAGCTGCAATCCAGTCTTGTGTCTGATAAACCACACACATTCACTTTGAACTGAGATCAACCATTTAAATGTTAATTGTTTTCCAGCACAAAGTCTTATTGTGGAATAGCTTCTCAGAGTCTTGTAACAAGGGGAGAAACACCTGTAGTAGCGCAACTGTTAAAGAGGCATATTTTGCTTTATGACATTATGATGGCTTTAAATAGACTGCCCTGTGTGCTTTCCCTGTTCCTACTTCCTGCACACACACGTGTGCGCACACACACACTGAACTCCAGTACAGGGAGAGAGATTGGAGAGATTGCTGGGCTTCTATTAGGGATCCTTTTTCTTTCTGTGCAACTGCCCTTCCCTGGAGTTTCTGGAGAGAAGAAATAGTTATTCACCAATGTGCCATATGTTTGACCAATGAAAGGAACAGGCATTCTTTTTTGGTATGTTATTTTGTTTTTTGTAAGCCTTCCAGAGACTCTAGTATTGGGTTGCATATAGAAATTTTGAATGAATGAATGAATGAATGAATGAATGAATTAGAGAACAAAAAGAAGACCAAATATTCCCTAGAGAACAATCAACTAACAGAAAACTCTTTGGAAACGTCACTGTAACTGGTACAATGGTCATAAAGCATTTATTTGATTATTTATTTATTCAATTTACATCTCACCTCCCTCCCTGCAAGAAACTCAAGATGGCTTACATAACATTCCTCCTCCAATTTAGCCTCACACCAACCCTGTGAGGTAGATTACTCTGAGTGTGACTGATTCGCCCAAAGTCAGCCAGTGAGTGGAAACCAGAACCCAGATTTCCCAAGACCCATTCCAGCATGCAGATATTTTGGACCAACTCCTATCATACTTCACCAGCATTTCCAGAAATGCTGAGACTTGTAGTTTGAAGGGCACCAGGTTGGGAGAGGTCACTTTAGCAACTCTTTTCTCACTTATGTTCTAGATTAAAACTGTGCCAGATTATAATGTTAATTACATGAAAAGAAGCATTCTTGATATCTTTCTCACCACTGTAGGGCTTGCTTTCCCTGGAGATTCAGTAAAGTACAGTGATTGATTATTTTTCAGGCCTTCTTTCCTATTAAGTTGGCATTGGATGATAAAATCCCATATTGACTTAATAGGCTGATATGGAATAACACAATTTGCTACTGTTTCCATTTTCATCCTAAATGCACATACTTTACAAATGCATGTGCCTACATTGAAAAAAATACTTCAAAAAGAGAAGGGGGAAAAGGAATAAAAGAAAAATGTGTGGCATTTTACTGCTGTGCAGAAAAACATAGGTGATGGGATTTTCTGCTTTCAGTCCATGTGAGTTTCACATGTATTCATCATAAGCCCACTCTGTCCTGTATCCATTTACACAGTAAAAACTATGCAGACATTCATATTATTTTCAACACTTTCCCATAAAATACACAAAATCCACATTTTGTATACATTGAAATGCAGATGTTTATGCCTCGAAATACAGTTGCCATACGCATTTATATATGTGCTATAGACATTTATGTTGTTCTACATAGTTGTTCCTAAACCATGCATTTTAAAAAGCATTTTGGTAATCTGTTTGAGCTGAGAGTTGTTTCAAAAATTTTGAGAAGTGAAAAATTGAACAGTATCTGTAATTTGACCTGCACTTGAGTCTGGACGTACTTAAAAATGTGAACCAAATGAAACATTTTCATATTTCTAATGGACTCATCAGTAAAATGCTGCAAGGAAAAATCTTGATGCGATCATATTTACAACCACATCAAAATTACACTGTTTTCACTGATGTGTTCATATGCATTATCATGGATATGGGGAGATATATAAATGATCTGAAGGAATAGAAAGCTCAGCAAATCTCTGTATCATCCAATGTCAGATAGAATTTTAGAAATTCTCCTATTTAAAACAGAAATCATACACAGTGGAAAAGTGAGGCAGAGCAAACCTAGAGAATAATGGAAGAATGGAATAGGAAAGTTCGTTCATTCCTAAATATGTGCCAGTTAAAGTCAAAAGATGTTTGAAGTGGTCTGTAGAACTTTATTAAAAAGTAAACACAATTTGCATGGTTTATGTGTTTGTTTTTGATGACTTAATAATATTTCCTTCAGACTTTCCCATGTCTGTTTTACATACCATCATTTGAACTGAAATGAATTGGTCTGAAGATGGTACATGAGACTTATTTGCTTTCTCTTCTTACTATTTCTTGTTACATTTTGCATTCCTATCTGAATGCTACTTTGGTGGGTTGGTGGGTTTCTATGGCTTTTTTTTTATTGAGTTTGTTTTTGCAGAGCTAAAATTCATTCTATGTTTGGTGGGCAGTGAAAAGAAAGAAAAGGAAGGAAGAGAAAAAGCAAAATACATCTTGAGTTTCTCAAACTTGGTTGAATCAAGGGTTTTAAGAGTAATTGAAAACATATTTTTACAACTGTGCAGAGACAGTAAGCCATAGAAATATATTCAGAGCCACATTCTTTTTAAAAACAGTTAATAAAATGCAATTTTGTACCCAAGGAATGCTAAGAAGAAATCATTCATCATGCTGGACCAATGTAGAACAAATAATTTAACGACATATAATGAAGACTGGTGAAAGTTATATGAAGCATTCTAATAGCGTATGGCCTGTCTTTAATCAATAGGACTGCTTCAGGATCCCCTAATGCAGGCTAGTGGCCATGCGTGCCCCAACACAGGTGTTATCAATCTTTTAAAAAACAAAACAAAACACTCCAGCACTTTCCGTTTAAAAAGAAACCAAAATAATAAACACACATGTACGTATTTAGGCTTCTATACTGCATATGGCCAACGCTCATTTTTATATTAGTCAAGGGGACATGCAAAACAGCTGGAGGTACAGATGTTCAGAGTGGAAAAAGAAAAGAAGGAGCTCCTGTTTTCAAAGAGTTAAGCTGCAATGGAGCTAGTAAAGTGTCAAGCAAATCCACTTCTAGGAGGAGGACGTTCTGGGATAGCAATCCTTGTTGCTAACTGCCACTGATTTTATCATCCAAACAAAAGAATACTGGGGAGACATCAGAGAACAGATGGCTGAGTGCACCTGTTGAAGAAGGAAAATTCAAGGTTAGCCATACAGAAGTCTGAATACAACTCTTGTGATTCCTGCCCACTTGCCATGATGATGGGAATTTGAGTCCCACAACATCTGGAAGCAATGGGTTCCTACCTACGATACCACATGCAAAGAGGCCAGGTAGAGATGAGACAGTGGAGATATAAAGCTTGTAGGGGCAGGAAAGAATGGGATGTATGTGCTTCGAAGAATAGGATTTACTCACAAGAGTAGCCACTACAGGCTTCAGGTTTCTAAGAGTGAGGACCCCTCCCTCAGTCCAGCTACTTTCTCCCTTCCCTTGTCAACAGCTGCTGTTAGTCCCCTTCTATTTTCTCATCACTGGTACCATTTATTTACCTGGCAAGCACTGAGCTGATGGGCAAGTGGGCCTCTATTGCTCCTCCTTCCCATCACCAGGGCCAGAGTGAGATGCAACTGAACAAGCAGCTCATGATGGTAGGAAGAGCAGCAACCCAGCAACCCCTGGGAACCCTTGTCACTGGGTCCCTGCTGAGGGGAGGGCTCTTAGCAGGCACCCAACCATGCCTGCCCTTGATGTGCACTCTGATGACAGTGGCTGACCGAGGAAGGTGATCTATAACCCCATGGTGAGATCTCCCTGTTTAAAATAATAAAAGGATAAGAACCTTGGAGTTTGCCTTATTTTGAGTAAGATCATTGCTCCAACTAGCTTGGTTTTTCCTGGCAGCTATTTTCCAAAGTTCCTGATCACTCCGGAGACACCAGGGACTGAACCTCAGACTCTTCCTCTGCACAATTGATAAGTTCTACAGCAGCAATCAGTGCAATGGAAAGGAAGACCTGATCCACTTGGTGCAACAGCTGAAAGTATGTAGGGGACCACAGCAGAATGCAGCAGACTGGACTCAGAGGACAGCTATGCCCATGGGCAGCTGCACCTATAGCAGGGGAGGGGATAGTTGTGAGCTACAGTGGGATGCTGAAGGGTACCTTATATGACCTCTGTGGGCTGCAGGATGCCATCCCTAGGCATCAGGAAGTGTTTTTTAAAGAAGGGGGGAGGCTCACACCTGTACTGAGTTATTTTGTGTTGTAAACCATAACTTGGATAATCAGGGGAAATAACATTTGAATGCAGCCACTTAATTTTACCTAAGATACCAGTATCTTCTCATTGCCTTTCAAATGTTCAGTTGCTAATGTGTGTGATTTGTCACCCTTGGAGAATCTAGTTCCCACACATATCACTCCAGGTATTTTTTTAAAATTACAGATATATGGCTTGCCAGATGCAACAGGCCCAAAAAGGTGTCTCGCTTTATTATGGTAATTAGTTTTTCCGTTAAAATGGAGAGGAATAAAATCGACAGAATTGTCTATTCCAGGTATTGCTATTATGCAGAGTATTTGTCATGAGAATCAGAATAATCACATTTATTTTCTTATATGCCAGTGAGCAGGGACTACTTTATATTTCAATCATATAGGAGCAAGATATGTAGTTATGTAGTTGTTCTTTGATAAGCGGTATTGATATTGTTATAAAATTTGACCTTGCTTACTGCAATAATTCACTTGCTCTGTCCACAAGAAGAGGAAAAAGAACAGTGCAAAATTCTTGTCTCATAGTTATGTCAAATGTGATGAGAACTCGATTAAAGCAGAGTCATTACATTCCTAGGGTAGAGCAGAGGTAGGAAACAATGTGTTGCAGTTGTTGGAGTGTTGGACGAGTACGTAGAGTTACAGATATAAATCTCCACTCAGTCATGAATCTCACTGAATCACTTTTGATTAATCACTATTTCTCTCAAGCTAACCTACTTCTCAAAATTGTTGTGAGGATAAAATGAGGGGGAGGAAACATGGACACCACCCAGGACTAATTGGAGAGAGAATGAGATAAAAATGTACTATAAGAATACAATACGTTTTGTACAAGTTCTCCGGAAGCTTCATAAACACTCACTTCTGAGTGTAGCCACTCCATGGCTTTGTCTTTGTTTTCGGTGGTTTCAAACCTCCATGGTTTCAAAAGATACTAAGACAATAGTACATTTTCAAAGGCCAAAATGTAAACATAAATTAATTAATTAAAAATGAATCTTCAAGGACATTTTGTGAAGGTTGAACAACCAGTTCCTGATACTGAACATACAGAGTTGGAAAAGTATTATGCTATGCATTGATATCTCATCTTTGGACTGCTGGTCTTCACATACACACACTTTCCCAGTTGTTCCAGCATTACTGATAAGACCAAAGAGAAAAAGATAATATTAGTATGAAACACTATCATAACTCTAATGAAATTTATTCAGGGAAAAGTTTTGATGATTCACAGGTGTCTCTCCAAGATCCCGTCTCCCTCTCTCTCCTTCTCAATCTCACTCTCTTTCTGCTCCCCCCACTTCTTGTTCCCCTAACTCTGCCATGGCACCTGGTATTCATTATAAGATTCAGTCAAGTTGGAGGGATCTAGCAAGGAAAGTCACAGCACATATGCTGTCTATGCAGACAGACATGCTTTTTCTTTCTAAAAGGAAACAGGCCTTCCTCAGAATTTATATTTCTGCTGAATGAATGTCTGTGAACCTTGCATTGACTCCAAGTGATTGAAAAAAGCCGGATTCTGACCTTGAACAAATATCCTGATTTCTGGCTAGAAAGCATTTCCCTTCATGACATGTATAGGAAAATTTCATTTAGTAGGGCTATAGAGGAAGACCTCCAGCAAATGGTGGAGACTGGTAGCACCAAAGCCAATGGAGTGCTGAGTCTACTCTGAATTTTAGTCTGAACTTTAAAGGATCTACTAATGATGCTAAACCCTATCCCTAACCTGCCCAAATGCAAGGTTTGGCACCATGGATAGCTCCTCAGAAAGGTTCAATTACACTCCAGGATAGATGCACTGCTCCATTGGAGCCACCAGGATCTACTCCTGCATTTGTTGCCAACTAATGGCAGAAGCGAACAAGCCCATGCCTGAGGGGTAGGTTTGGTCTGTTTCACTTTGTGAAACAGGCTACCATGGGGAAGCTCTAGTATGTGTGTATTCAGTTGCAACGTTGTGCCCAACTCTTCAGACCCCATGGATCACAGCACTTCAGGTTCCCCATCCTCTGCTGGTTCCCAGATCTCACCCAACTCCATCCAGCCACCTCAACCTCTGCTGTCCTCTTCTCCTTTTGCCTTCAATCATTCCCAGCATCAGGTCTTTTCCAATGAGTCCTTTCTTCTTCTCATTAGGTGGCCAAAGTATTTGAGCTTCAGCTTCAGTATCTGTCATTCTAAAGAACAGTTAGGGTTGATTTCCTTTTGGATTGACTGATCTGATCTCTTTGTAGTCCAAGGGACTCTCAGGAGTCTTCTCATTCAAAAGTGCCAAGTCACAAGTGTCAGTTCGTCAGAACTCAGCCTTCCGTATGGTCCAACTCTCACAGCCATACATTACAACTGGGAAAACAGGCCTAATCTGGCCACAGAGTTTCCCCATCTGACCTATAGAAACTCCTTGAATTCCTGGGGGTGGAATAATTCAGAGGGAAATCTGCACTGTTACCTTCAAACATAGACTGGTGCTAACATTAGGGATGTGGGCAGTGGAGGAATTGGACAACACTGAGAGGAACCTCTTCTGTGAGAGTGTTTGTGTAACACATGATGATGTGAGGAGTGCATTCCATGCATGAAGATCTGGTGCATTGCCTATGCTTTACCTTATTTATTTATTTGTATTTATTTAAAACATTTCTATGCCGCCCCATTTGCAAAGAGCCTCAGGGCGACTTACAAAACCTTCCACAATGCCATGGAGTGGGATGTGCAGCTGCAGCATCTGTGACTTGGCCAGAGGTGGGAATACTGCTCTGCCTTAGTCAGGACAGCTTTGGCGCATGACAGCTTGCCAAGGTGGGGGTGCTAGTCCAACAGATCTGGCGGGCGCCAAGTTGTGTCCATTTAGCCTCTCATTGCTCATGTAATTGGTTCGGTCTGGAAGCTCACAAAGAGAAGGGTTGGGCATGTTCCTAAGTAAACGCTAACTTTCTCCTTTGAGCCTGAAGCAAGGAGCCGCTCTGCTGTTTGCACAGAGCCAGGATCCCTGCACTTGATATTGCCTGCTATAGACATCCTTGGACTATTTCCTCCTCCTTCCAGACAGGTGATTCCCTCAAATGTTGCTGATCATCTGCTCAGAAGGGGTCCTTATGTGCAGCAGGAGATGGTTGTCTCTGAATATTTGTGAACTAAGACCATCCATGTGCCCCCAGCCCCTTAAGTAACATTAAAACTCAAGTTTAGATTATAGCTTACCAAACTATGGATTCATTGCTTCAGCACAAAATATGTAGACCTGCCTCCAGAAACCCCCTTTTATAACTGTCCAGAGATTGTATCATCATGTTTATTAGCAATTTTAATGATTCAAAAGTTTATAACTCAGCCTGTTCATGCATAATTTTACCTTTGTTCTTTCTTCCATCTTCAAAGACCAAACTCTGTGTGACCAGATGTGTTTTTATTTGCTTTTTTTTTAAACTACCCAACACTTGGCCCATCTGTTGTCTAGTTAAAAAGTGAGAATTGCTCTAAAAAAGAATAAGAAAAAAATGTATTATTCCCATTGACTGTAGGAGTCTAGTTTTAAGTTTTTGTCCCACAGCTGATTTTTATGCTGTTTTGTCATGGCTCTTGCATGTTTCTAAAATAATCCTGCTTTTCTACCTACCTTGGGGCTTACAGAACTTCTGTTTACTTAGACATAGGTCCTATGGAGTTCAATGGGACCCAACTTATTTAGTAGTGTGGGATTAGAGGCAATGACATGTCCCTTAAAAATTCAATGGCTACATTGGATGCTTCCACCACTGTGTGTTCCTTCCAGCCAGAAGGCCCCATGAAGGATTGGCCTGTTGCCCACTTCTCAACAAGGTTCAGTTTAGTCTGGAACTAATCAGTCATCTGGGTTATTTTGCTACATGTCTGGAGAATTTTGAGCTAATATTCTAAGGTTCTCCAAATTATTTCTGGAATGAAGTGATCCAGGAATGGTCACCTATCACTAGGATTTGTTTAGAGAATATATCTTTACATTTTTATCAGTTTTAAACCTTTTAAAATCCTACTATGTGCTAGATTTTCTAAAATGCACATGATAAAAACACCCCCAGATATTAGATTCACTAAGATCTAGTAAATCTAGATTACTTCTAGATGTTTATAGTTTTTTAATTGATTCTTGTGTTGTCATTCTGAATTAAAATTATATTTTACTCTTTTAGATATTTGTATTGGACATTATATTTTTAACATGTCTATGGGCGTTTCAAGAACTGTTTGTAATCCACCCAAAGAGTATTATTTATTTATTTCTATGCACGCACATGCACACACACGCACACACACCAATAGTCAAAGCTCTCTGGCAGTGTACAAAAAACTCTCTGGGTGGTATACAACATTAGCTATTAGGTAGTTTAGAAATATAATAAATAAATGTTTGTTTGTTTGTTTGTTTGTTTTCAATAGAGGTGAAACCAAAACACTGAGCAAACCAAAAGACAAAAACACTTTTGGAGAGGTGCAATCCTGTGGTTGGAAAGAAGTGTCTAGCCAACCGTAGGCAAAAGTAGAGTCCCTGCAGTGACCCTGGAAAAGCCTTCCAAAGTTGAGTTGCTCCAGGAACTCCATCTTTGGAGGGACTCTTACCCTCTCAGCCAGCACTGTTCTTTCCATGCTAACTGAGGACCTGAAGATGGAGCACCATCTTTAGAAGAGGCACTGGAGGCAGGAAGGGAGTGGGGCAAGGCACCACCAGTTTCAAACAAACTAGCCTCCAACATTTCTCTCACAAGAAGGGCCAA